GTTCAGCGCTGGGGTTCAAGGCCAGGTGGGCTGGCAGGGTCGGTGGCAGAGCACTTCCCTGGTCTAGCGGGAGGACCTCCGGCGCATGCGTGGTGGAGCCCTGTCCCCGGAGCGCATGCGCCCGAGGCGCCCAATCACCGGACTGTGGGGCCCAGGACAGCCAATGGGCAGCGGCCCCGGCGCGGAGCCGTAGGCGGAGGCCCCCACCCCGCAGACAAGAGACGACACCGCACCTCATTTGCTGCGCAACGTTTGTGTAATTAGACGCATTTAGCGCCACAGAGGCGGCGTGGGCTACCGCAGGGGCTTGATGGATCGGGCGCTCCCCCAGGCTCCAACCGCATTAATCACAGAAGCCAGAGCCACCGGGGCCGTTTTTTTCGTGTAGGCTTCGTCCTGTTTCCCACCTGAGGCACCGGTGCGGAAGAGGGAAGGGGTGGACTTCCCACGGCCCCAGGCCAGCCCTGAAGTACTGGCCAGTGTCCCCGTGTGGCCGGGTGGGGACCGACCGTCCCGAGGATTATGTGGAGCCCTCGAAGGTGCATTCTGGCAGGGCACGGGGCTTTGGGAACACAGTGCTTCTGCCCGACACTGGGGTGTTAACCAGGAGAGCCCCTCCCTAGCTGGGGAGGGGGGACGGCATGCCCACCTCGCAGGGCCGACTGGCAGGAAGTCGATGCCCCCTCTGAAGCTCACCAGCTGCATCTCACAGGGCAGTGGGGAAGGTGAAAACGATATAGCATACCTAGCTCCCTCCCTGGCAGAGCCTGGCCTCCCAGAGGCCCTGCACACACGGCTGACGCCTTTTGACGGCATCCTGGGTGATGCCATACTGGCCACGGGGGGTTGGGGATCCAAATAAGCCCCAGAGACATTCAGGCCCTAATCCCTGGCATCTGTGACTGTGACCTTCTAGGGGGAAAAAAGGACTTTGCAGATGTTATAGAATTAAGGATCTTGAGACAGGAAGATTATCTTGGATTACCTGGGGGGGGGGGGACCCTAAAAGCCCTCACTGGCATCTTTATAAGAGAGGCAGAGAGAGAAGAGTATTATAGAAGAGGAAGACAATGTGAGGACAGAAGCAGGGGAGAAAAGGCAATGTGACAAGAGGCAAGGGTCACCGGCTAAGGATCACGGGGAGCCTCCAGAAACGATGAAAGTCAAGAAGCTAGATTCTCCTCTGGAGTCTCCAGAAGGAACCAGCCCTACCAATACCTTGATTTACTTTAGACTTCTGGCCTCCAGAACTATCTGAGAATAAGTTAGTATCGTGTTGTGCCACTGGGTAAACTGTTATAGCAGCAACAGGAGACTAATTCACTGCCCCTCAGGTATCAAGTCTGGTGAAAGAGTCATCTGGGCCAGGGAGTGACAAGGCCATTTCCACAGGCCCACTGACCTGGCCAGACCTCCCCAGCTGCCTGCCACTAAGGCTTTCTGCTTCTACCAGTGTTCTGCCCATGCCGCACCCTTCACTGGCCGGGAAGGAAGCAGGCCCAGAGAGGGGACATGACTTGTGTCCAACCCAAGGCCGGTGAATGGCAAAGCCTGGAGAAGACTCAGGGACCATCTCTTAGATCTCCATCAGCCCCAGGGGGACAGCACTGAGGGCTCCCGTCAGGGCTCCCTCATTCAGTGATGGGAGGCCCATAGAAGCATCGCTTGGGGGCATGTTAAACCCAAACATGAGCCCTGCCCCAGTCTCTGACTCAGCAGTCTGGCCTAGGGCCTGAGAATCCGTATTCCTAACAGAGGATGCTGATGCTGCGGGTCCAGAGGGTTGGGGAACCACTGACTGAGGGGGTGGTGCCCTAACAAAGGGCTCTATGTGCTTTCAAGAAGGAATCAGCTGGGCCTGTCCAGGAGACCAGTGCTTATCTATGTGCCTCCAGGAGAGAGCCCAGCGTGCAGCTGAGGGCCTGGGGTCAGGAGGTTGTAATTAGATTTCTAACTCTCCCACTCCCTAAGTGGGTGACCCTGGTGATTAGTTATTTAACCTCTCTGTGCTGCCTCAGTTTCTTCTGTAAAATGGGATGGTAAGAACAGGAAATATTTATAACAGAGCCTGTTTAGTAGGTCGGAATTATTGTGAGAAATGGCAGTTGTCAATGGTGGGGTCTTATTACAGCTCTGCTGTGGTCACCAGGTTTGTGCGGACATGTGAGCCAAGATAGTCACCTCACGGTGCTGCAATCCTGCGTGGGCTGTGCCTCCAAGGAGCCACCGGCACCACCCATGTCTCTGACCAGCACCAGGTCCCTTGCAGGGGACACTTCCCTGCGGGTCTACTTTCCGAGGATCTGTGTCACTGAACGAGCCCCAGTATTTCTCAAGAGCAGAAAGTCAGCAACTCCAATCCCCTCCCAAATAGGGACTCGGCTTCCTTGATTCTCCTTCGGTTCTCAGATGCTATCGGCTGAGCAATTTTCGGGTGATTCACTAGCTCCAAATGTGTGCATCCCCCATAAGCTAGCCACCAGAGCTGTAGTCTCAGCCCCTGCGGCTGGAGGGGCTGGGAGGTGGGCAGAGGGCTGCAAGGGCCCCATCACCTACCAGCTGGACCAGCAGCAGGCCCCAGTCAAGTGAGAACCGGCGACATGCGCTGCCACGAAATGAGAAATTTCCAGTATTTGAAAGACCCGGGAGACGACTCTAGGGGACTCCCAAAGTCCAAATCTGTGGTCGCTGCAACCACACAAAAATAGTGACCACAACAGAATATACCTCAGAGTAACACGACTATCCAGGCATTTATTTGGTGTAAGTAAATAGCCAAAGAAAGAAAGACACAGGGGAGAAGGGACTATTTCTCACAGGAGAATTCCAGGTGATAAATGTGGAAGGAATGATGGAAATAGAAAATCACCATTTGGCAAACACTAGTAATTAGTTTCTGTTGAGAACTGTCCATGGATGTTAAAGTTAGTGGGTGAAGATATGATGGGACACAGGATATTTACATATTATCCAAGTATCACGGCCCAAGATACTTATTACTTACAAAGGGACCAGCTTTAAAGTAGAGAAACCCAGCAGACCTCACGTTAACTAAGGGATCTCCAGTGACGAGAAAAATTAACATCTCCCATGACGAGAAGTATTGCCATCATGTGCATGGCATGATGTACTAGGTAGGGGCACCGAACCACTTTTAAGGTATTATACCCCAAAATTCTTATTCTGGATTTTTTTTTAAGTTTATTCACTTTTGAGAGAGACAAAGAAAGCATGAGCTCAGGAGGGGCAGAGAGAGAGAGAGAGAGAGAATCCCAAGCAGGCTCTACCATGTCAGCACAAAGCCCGATGCCCAGCTCGAACTCACAGAACCGTGAGATCATGACCTGAGCTGAAACCAAGAGTCGGATGCTTAACTGACTGAGCCACCCAAGTGCCTCTATTCTGAATTTAATCATGAGGCAACTTTCACGTAAGTGTCCCAAATCGAGGACATCTGCACATTTTGTACTGGCCTGTCCTCTTCGAGAGGGTCAAGGTCATGAAAGACAAGAGAAACTAAGCCACTATCTCAGAGTGAAGGAGGTTTGACTGCTAAATGCAAAGGCTGGATCCTGAACAGGAAAAAAAAAAAAAAGAAATTAGTGGGGAAACTGAGGAAATGTGGGTAAGATTTACAAGTTAGTCAATGACACTGTATCAGTCTTTTTGGTCACGTAAGATGTGAACAGTGGAGGGGATAATGGAAACCTTTGCACTATTTTTGCAACTGTTTTCACATGTCTGAAATTATTTCAAAGTAAAAGATATGCTAAAGGAAAGAAAAGCAAAGTCCCAAATTGGCTCTGCCTTGGGGAGGCAACAATGGGTGCCCAGAAACAGGAGCCGCCTGAGGGCTGGGACCTTCTCAGTCTCCGGCCTCCTGATCAGGTACAGTGCTTGCTTTGAAGGTGGGGCGGGCTCAGCAAGAGTTCACTGACTTCACTCAGACAGGAGCTGGGAGAGGCAGGAAGTAGGGTTTGTCTTCAGTGGGTGGGTGGGTGGGTGGGGAGTGCTCTCACTCAGCAAACATTGATCAAGCACCTGTTATGTATAGGCCACTGGCAATGGGGCAATGAGAGGGAAGTTCAGAGCCTACTGGTGGGGGGGAGTAGGTGTGAAAACAGATGATCCCGGGGGAAGGGCCCCCACTCGGTGTGGTCCCCAGGAGGAGGGTGCATTCCGGGCACGGGGAACTGTGGCAGGGCTGTGTGTCCTAGGACTGTGAACAGCGACTTGGTGTGGACAGGTGAGGTGGCTGGGTCTAGAGGGGCCCCGGGGCCGGTTGGCCCTTTGCAATAGGCTCCCTCCAAGACAGGTGTGCAGAGATGTGGGGGTAGGGAGAAGGTTCCAGCCTCTCCTCTGAAAGCAGAATGGATGCGGCAGCACCGGGCCGAGTCTTTGAATCGCAAAGACCGAGAAAACTTGGTGGCTTCGAAGACTCAGGTGGGAATAAAGAGGGGCAGGATTAGTTTTAGCGAGACGGCACTGGGTGAGGCCCCTTCTACCAGGGATCTCAGAGCAGGGAGAGGGAACAGGCCCCAAAATATAACATGGAGCTTGTCCTTATCATCAGGGTGACTCTATAATATTCTAAACTGAGACGTGTAAAAAAGGGTGCTATGAAGTATTATCCTATGACAACATATAACTAAGGTCCCGGTACTTATGAACCTCTGGCCTGGAGGGGGTTCCCACTGCGTGGGTGCACACAGAGCCTCAAGGTGCTATGGGTACACCGGGACAGCCTGCAGCCTTGGAGGTGGTGACGTGTGAGCCAAGCGGGGCTTCCTTCTCAGGGAACCAGAGGGATCCCACCAACACATGTGCGCAGGGTCCCGGCTCATCGCCCTCCCGGGTGGCAGAGGTGACCATCAGCTCAGGACAGGGCAGATCAGGAAATCCAGAAAGACAGACGGAGGCATGACAGGTGGCTGAGGCTGCTGGCCTCCGGGGTGACAGGTGACAACATGCTGGGGTGGAGGGTGGAGGGCAGAACTTACCCGTGCACGCCGTGGACAGAGTGGGGCTCATAATGGTACCTTCCCTCCTGGTGTCTCATGTCAATCGGTAAGGGAGCATGAAACGGTGGCAAAAGGTGTTGTGGCACTGTGGAGTGGGAGAGAGAAACAGGCCTTCAAAAACTTTTCCCCTCCCTCAAACAGCAATTTTCAAAGGGCTTTAAAGCTCAATGAATTTCAGAGCAAGAGTAGCCAGGACAGGGGGCTCCGCGGTGCCCTGGCTATCACACACCCACGGAGGGGGATGAATAAATAATCAAAGTCAGCCCGAGAATCCTACATCTTTCACATAAAAGATCCCCAACCGCGCTCTTGACAAAGACAAGCAGCTAAGCGCTCTTTGAACTCGGGGAGATTAAGGCTCAGCCACAAATCAGGGCTGACAGAGCCGACGGGCTGCTGCCCATCTCGGCCTCGGCTGCGTGTGGCTCCGGCAGCCCCGGGTGACGGCATCCGGATGCTGCAGTCACCCTGGCTGGAAATGTTTACCTAGAACCATCTGTGAAGCCGGGGCCCCGCTCCCGGCTGCGGCCAGCCTCAGGAAGGCACAATCCCACCGAGCCGCCTCCCCCGTCCTGCTGGCGGCAAAGAGTGGACACCGACGTGGGCCTGTTAATTCTCCAGCTCTTCGTATTAATTACTGACCCCAAGTGAGCTGGTGGGTGCCTCCAAGACGCAAACACCAACACGTGAACATCGCTTCCAGGGTTGTGTCTGCACTTGGCCTGCCCTCAACAAATCATCATGATAATTGTAGGATGCTCTTTGCTTACTTAAAAAAAAAAAAAAAATTCCTGGGTACCCTGGAGGCAAACATAATTATAGGCTTTAGGAAAACAAGCCTCTTTAAAAAGTAGGTAGACCGGGAAAAGGGCTAAGAAGGGGAGATTTCTCAGTCAGTTCTTAGGCTGAAGGCCATGGGCCAGTGGGAGTGTTGAGTCTGGATCGCCGAATCTATGCAAGAAATGGGGACGGGTTTGCTTTATACGCGTACAAGCCAGCTGACTGCCCAGCCCACGGTAATGAATATATATGCATAACTCTGCTAACAGTTTCTGGGCAAATGCATTCTGGTACTGTACTATAAGCACTATGAGTTCTCTTTTCGTGGTGGTCAAGCATATGTAACGTAATATTTACCCTTTGACCCATTTTTATGTGTCCAGCTCAGTGGCATTCATACATTCAAATTGCTGGATGCCCACCATCCATTTCCAGAACATTTCCATCTTCCCCAGCAGAGACCCTGTTCCCATTAAAGACTAACTCACCATTCTTCCTCCCCGCCAGCCCCTGGCAGCCATCTTCTCCTTCCTGTCTCTATGATCTGACTACTCCACATGCCTCATAGGAGTAGAAGGAATCCTACAGCATGTGTCCTTTTCTGTCTGGCTTAGGTCACTTAGTATAATGTCCTCAAGGTTCCTGTGGTGTAGCAGGTGTCAGGATTTCCGTTTTCAGGGCTGAATGCTATTCCATCGCATGGATGTACCCCATGTGGTTGTCATTCATTTGTTGATGGATGTTGGGTTGAACACCATGAATTCTTTTCTTTAAGATTTTCTTTTAATTTTTAAGTAATCTCTACACCCAATGTTGGGGCTCGAACTCACAACTGTGAGATCAAGAGTCGTGTGCTCTACTGCCTAAGCCAGCCAGGCACCCCACAAACACCATGGATTCCTAAAAGAAAACTTCTCTCCTGAAATTTTAACCTGAATTTTTACATAATCAAATTTATCCTCATCATCCCCCAATCCTGACACCTTTCATGGGGACTGGGAACAAAGAAAGCAAATCTTCTCACCCTGATGAAATCAATTTGCCAAACACAGACTCCACAAATCTTGGCCTCAGAGGGGACATGGCCATCAGACAGGACACCAGACGTGGGGTCCCATCCCTCTGGGTCGGGCCCTCACTTCCGGGGCTGGAGATTGCTGGAGCGACCATGCTGTTCCCTTAGGCCAGTCCATGTCCCCTGAGAGGTGAGGCTGGACCCCGGGTGTGACCCTGGTGGCAGTAACAGGATGCCAGAGCCCCTGGGAGTCAGAGATCCAGAGCACAAACCTGGGGCTCACCAGCTGCGTGATATCAAGCAAGCTTCTCTCCTTCTCTGAGTCACCATTTGTTCATCTGAGAATGGGTAACAGTAACCTCCTTTATGGTTGCTATGAACATAAAATGTTCCTGCAGGGGCAGTGCTTAGCCCTGTGCCTGTGCATACAGGAAACACTCCATAAATGATACTACTGCCGATGACAATTCTCACTAACATTTGGAGCCTCGCAGTCCCTGATCCGCTATGAACACACTATTTTACTAGCTGTGGAGCGTCGGACAAGTTGCTCAGAGCTCCCCGCAAACCTGGGGAGGGCGGAGGGGTCAGTGCCGGCCTGCTTACAGACTGGGAGATGAGACGGCCTTCCCTGAACCCCCAGGGACCCGAAACACGGAAGCCGTGTTCGCTTCCCCGGATGTTCAGGAAAGGGCCTTTTGCTTTTTGTAAGTTTCTTTATTTTAAATGTGGCCAGGCAGACCAGAGTATAGTATTGGTAATAAAATAAAAGTACTTTGCTCCTGTGTGTTTCTGAGTGTTTCCCTGCATACCCAAAAGCCCCCTGAGGCAGCCAGGATAGGCTGCTATGCCCATTTCACAGATGTGGAAATGGGAGGCAAGGGGTGACTTCCGCTCAAAGTCACAGAGATAATAAACAACAGAACCCGGAAGAGAATCCAAGGCAGCTGGACAGCTGGTCGAGGGCTTTTCCCTCTGCTCAGACACAAGGAATGGCCAGAGGCAGTCGCTGGGTGGGAGGGTGATCCCGGGGCTTCTCCTGGTCCCACCTTGAGTACATATTATGTTTAACAAATGCTCATGCAGCACTGGGCCCTGCTCTCAGTACTTTGCAGATACCAATTCCTGGTCTTCACTGCACCCCAGGCTATATTTACCCCAGAATCTCCAGTCCTCCCACCGGCCACCCCCTCCACCCCCACCCTGCAAAACCCGGGTGTGCCCCTTTCCTCCCTCATCCTGCCACCTGCAGAAGTAGAAGGCGGTCCCCTAATGCTCTCAGAGCCCAGACCTTCCCCTCCACTTCACCATCTAGGAGTGTTCTGCTCAGGGTTAATGCAACTTCACCCGGGTCTAAACAGCTATAAAATCTGCAGAAATGAAGTGCTCATAGTAGTTTACCAGGTGAACATGAAATGGAGGTGGGGCCAAGGCTGAAGCCAGCTGCTCTGTGTGTGTGTGTGTGTGTGTGTGTGTGTGTGTGTGTGTGTGAGATGGGAAGGAGGACCCTGGGGCTTCTGGGAAGAGACATAAGACACAGAGCTCTGCTGCAGCTGGGGCTGCTCTCTTTCTGCCTGATCACTGGGGTGCAGGCTGTGGAGGTTTACGGCGGGACGTAGCTTTCTCTTAAATCGGGACTGCGGGCCAGGCCATGGGACATTGGGGAAATCGTGTCTCCTCTCTGGGCATTACGGTTCCCATTTGTACAGTAGGATTTAGATGGGTTAAGTTCCTTCCTACCAGGACAATCCTGCTGTTTGTGAACCCGGAGTAAGAGCCATGCTTGTCCCAACCAGTGACACATTGAGGCTTGAGGAGGGATCCCTGAGCAGGACACAGAAGGAGCTCCGGGTACAGACACTGCTTCATTGCTGTGGCCCTATCCATACAACTCACTACTAGGGACCAGTAACCCTTTGAGAGGCACTCAGCCCACCAGCCCCGGGGTTTCTGTGAGAGGAGCTGCATTGCCCTGGCACTGACCGAGGGGAGGAGCCAGCAGGTGTCCCAGTCACCTGAGCCCACGGGTAGGACCGCTGCCCCAGCCAGCTGTCTCTGGGGCCAGCTGTGCACACGAGGCAACCCACGGGATGAAGACTGATCCAGCCCATCTGAGGTCTCAGGACCCTTTCAGACCAGCATGGACTGTCCCCATGCGCCCCTCATTCAGAAGTGAAGGCTTTGCTCAGAGCCCCTCACCCGGGCTGCAGGAGAAATTCCATTCTGGACTCGGGAGAAATCACTCGGGCCAGAGGCCGTCAGCAGCACCCAAGGAACACGAAGACACACGCAGACAGTGAGAGCTGCCTCCGAGGGACATACTGAATGAGATCCTTCCACATTGTTTTCATTGTGGGCGCTTTTTTTAACTTAAAAAAAAAATCTAAACTAAACCATGTCCTTCCGGTGGGGAGACACACACACACACACACACACACACACACACACACACCCCACACCATATGTCATTTCAAAGACATGGCTCTCTTTTTAAGTTTCTGGGGAAGAAACTCTAAGATTGAATTTTCTACGGCTCACCCCACCCCCTTTGAAGAAAATGCACATTTGTTTTTGATCCTGCACGGAAAGACGGCCAGTCTGGGAAGCTGCGATGGTGGTGTGAGGGCTTTTATACCGAAACCCAGAATTTTTCTGTGCTGAGGTCTAAAAGCCAAGTGCTGCTCGGCTGGTGGTCCTGGGGGTGAAGGTTGTCTTGCGTCGGCAGTGTCCTTGGTCTAATGCAAGGGGGCAAAGAGGACCCTTCTCTGCGAGTCCGGCTCTAGTTGAAGCCCCATTAGTAGTGACTCTAGTGCATTTCTGCCAGCGAGGACGGGACAGGTCAGCAGAGGGTTCAGACACAGAATCAGGAAAACTGGGTCATCGAAACATGACCGGGCAGCTGCACCAGCAGCTGGAGGAATTCTCCTCGGATGAAGTCATCTGTTGCTATATCACGGAGGTGCTGCCCTGAGGACTGAGCTCAGAGAGGGCCAGAGAGGCTGGCCCAAAGCTGGAGGGGCTGGAGAGGAGAAAGCAGCCATCTTCCAGAACAGACTGGATGTGTTAGGGGCCCCCAGCTCTCTGGACTGTCCACTCCCTAGGGATTAGCACGGTCTTCACTTACTGTGGTCATTTCCATTAAGACCACAGAGGCAATTAGCTCGGAGAATGTGGGCCGGGCTACCCTGGGCCTGGGCCCAGGGAAGCAAAGGGTTTCTGTGAGAGGAGCTGCATTGCCCTGGCACTGACCGAGGGGAGGAGCCAGCAGGTGTCTCTGGAAGGAGGCCTGG